CCTTGGAGGTTGGTGTAGTAGCAGGTATAGAGTGAGTGTGAAGTCACAGAGAGGAAAGTGGGGTACCCTTGGCACAGCAGAGAATGTCAGTTACCTTCTTATGGCATAGCTGTCCATTCTTCTAGACTACGGACGCAACAATGACCTTGGCGGAAACCTTAGACCAGGCTTTGGAGGAGTGGCTTTTAGTGGGAGTTCTCTGGGAAGTGAGCTCCTCTCTTTTGGAGATTAATGCTGAAGAATTCCTTTTGTAGCACCTACAATAATGATGTCACATGGCCTTGTTGATAGATGAGGTTGTCATCTCGAAGCAGTAAGACCTACTCTCTGGGTCTTTCTCACAGTCTCTGCAACAATGATGAATGATATACATCATACCAATATAAATTGTACTTTTAACAGTCACAAAGATTCACTTTACAGCCTGGTGGCAAACAGTGTGGAGTCCATTTAGCTGCATCCTACACACTGACAGCGGTGGAGCTCTGAAGATTTCTTCAGACACAGTTTTAAGAAGGCTGCACATGCAGACAGAATGCAGTTGAAAGAGCTGAATGGAAGAAGAACCTCATAACAAGGTTCTACAAGGCAAAACCAACAGCTTAGGATAAAAAAAAAGCATTTCAGACCTGGTAAGAGATGTGCAGCAGCAGCAAAGTTAGAAACTACATGGAACTTGAGAACTGGTCACACCAAGACAATTCCCGATTGTGTTGTGTTCCTATGGTCTGTAGGAGCAGTTTTTTTTTTACATTCATTCACAAGCAATTGAAGTCATGGTTGAAAAAATGTTGTTTACAGCTGACAGCAGTACATCAGCATGGTCCAGGAGATATAGCACTTAAGATTAAATGTATGCTACAGCAATGTGCAACACAAGGGTATCAGAAAGTTGCGATCATATATCCTCAGTATTCAAGAAGTCTGACTCTTGCACATGAATGCATGCTTTGACCCGAATCTCCTTCAAATGGTGGAGGATTCAAATTAGTTAAAGTCAAGAAACACTGATAAAAAAAAATAGCAGAACCAATCAAGGAACAGTCAATCGTGGGAAAACTTATTATGGAACAACTAGTCATGGAACACATCACAAAACGCACAGCTACTGAATTGTTGATTGTACAAGTACTGACCAAAAGATCACAAGCAGATTTCACATAGTTCCCTCGACTCTCAGCAAAACCCAAAAAGAAGATAAATTAGTTACGTTGGCGCACAACATTTGTGCAATCTATCAGCAAGGTTGGAACCTGTGACTATTGTGAATAGGTTGACAGAAATAGTTTTCACTCCCAGCAACACAAAAGAAAGCTCTAACAGCAACAATCAGCAAGGTTTGTGAGAAAACACAAGAAAAGAAATCCGATAGCCAGTGAATAGAATAGAATACCCCATTTGAAATCATTAATGAATCTCCAGGTGAGGTAAGTCAGAGTACAACACAAGTCATTCGAACAGATTTAAGTTTGATGTCAAACGCTGAGGTGATTCAAAGGACGTAATTTCAAACCGAGAATTTAATTTCTTTATCGTCCCGGGAAGAATCCTCAGAACCAGTGTCAAGGAATTTTTTTTCATTCAGTCACGGGATGAGGGTGTCACTGGCTAAGCCAGTCATTATTGCCCATCCCTAATTGCCCAGGGGGCGGTTTTAAGAGTCAACCACATTGCAATCAGCTAAACATTAAGTAGTCCTTAAATAATACAACCGAGGGAGCAAGCATGCTGGTATCACTCATAATTTAATCACGGACAGTGAATGAAAATTACATTAAGTGACTGAAAACAATAAGTTAAAGCAAAGAAAATACACATTTCACTACCAATTTACACATACTCTTTGTTTTACACAGATTCACTACCCATGGATCTCCATGCTGGCAAGGTGAGCCCCAGAACAGTTTTTTTTAATAGACAGGTCCTGATGGTCACATGGTACTTTGTTGTACATAGCCGACTTCTAATAAAGTGCTACCCAGGTTTTGTGTTATCCATGGAAGGTACATGCCCCTATTTCCATCTGATAACAAGGATTTAGGGTACCAGAAGACTGAGAAAAACTCTCTGTTTGCGCAGGTTAAAGGTAAGATGCATAAATTACCTCGAAAGCCACCTTGAGACAGGACAACCAATGTCTACAGATTCAAAACAAAATCAAGAAGATACTTTCTGAAGAAGGGGCTAGACCCAAAACATCAGCTTTCCTGCCCCTCTGATGCTGCTTGGCCTGCTGTGTTCATCCAGCTCCACACCTTGTTATCTCAAGAAGATACTGCCTGGTTTGGAGATCCAGGCTAGTGTCAAAAAGAGAAAATTACCCGATCCAGAGATCTAGGATGTGGAAAACAAAAGCATCCGTTTCAACAAGACAGCCGTCCTTTGTGAAGAAAATTGACGAGTTTAAATACCCTTCAGTTTAAAGGGAGTTACAGGTTGTCAAGAACAGAATCAAATTCAACAGACTATAACGCAAAGACCTACCCAAGCTTCCAAATTGAAAGTTACACATTGAAAGGGAATGCATTCTGGGGAAATAGTGAAATCTCCAGACTGTCTGAATTTGTGAAGGGAGAGACTTGAGGGAAGATGGGCATATACATGGATATATAATTGCCGATGCTTTCCTCCATGGAAAAAAGTAAAACTTGGGAGGAGATGTTGCATAAGAGTGTGAGGGTCTGAGTTCATGGCAACCCTGCTGAAGACGGGATCACATTTGAAATTTATGGAAAAACATGCCTCCACTCAGTTCGGAAGGAACATGGAAATATAGGAATTAGGAGCGAGAGTAAGCAGCTCAGCCCTTTGAGCCTGCTGTGCCATTTAACATGAACATGGCTGATCTTATCCTGGTCTCAATTCCACTTTGCTGCCTGCTCTACATAGCCCTTTATCGCACTTTTCATCAGAAACGTATCTGTTTCATTTTTGAATCTGTTGATCGATTCTGCCTCCTTACACTCTGGGGCAGTGAGTTCCACAGATTCACAACCCTCTGAAAGAAGGAGTTTCTCCTCATCTCAGTTTTGAACCTACCGCCTCTCACACTATATCCATGACCTCTTGTTCGAGACTGTCCCAAAAGGGGGAACCTTTGTTCAAAATCCACATTATCAATCCCCTTTAGCATCTTATATACTTCAGTAAGATCCCCCCTCATTTTTCAGAACTCCAGCGAGTACAAACCCAAGCTATTCAACTGCTTCTCGTACGACAGCTCTTTCGTCCCTGAAACCAATTTGGTGAACCTCCTCTGAACTGCTTCCTGTGCCACCACATCCTTTCTCAAGTAAGGAGACTAAAGCTGGACACAATATTCCAGATGTGATCTGACCAATGCCTTACATAATTGTAACAACATCTCTTTACTTATACAATCCAGTCCTTTTGCAATAAATGCCAGGATTCCATTTGCCTTTCATATTATATGTTGCACATGCATATACATACTTTGCAATTCATGCACAAAGACACCAAGATCCCTCTGCACTGACACACTTTGAATCTGCTTTCCATTTAAATAATAATTTGTCCCTTTACTATTCCAGCCAAAATGAACAACCTCATACTTAGCCGTATTAAACTCCATCTGCCAGATTCTGGCTCATTCTCCTAGCCTACCAATATCCATCTGTAATCTCCTCATCATTGCCTGCTTTCCCACCTATTTTAGTATCATCTGCAAACTTTGTTATGTTACTGTCTATCCCTACTTGAAGATCATTTATACAGATTGTAAATGCTTGAGGACGAAAACTGAACCCTGCAGCTTCCCACTAGTTACAGTTCACCATCCATTTATCCCAACCTCTGCTTTCTATCAGTCAGAAATCCTGATGTTGAAGACCACAATCAGACAGGAGGGAGAAAAAGACAGAGAAATTGAAAGGGGAGAAAAGTTTACGGGAATTGAAGAGGGCACAGGGCTGGGTGCAGTATTGATAGGTTTAAGCATCTGAAAATGAACATGCAACTGACAACTGCCCCCCGCATCCCGCTTCCCGGCCAGCACTGCTATGAGCACAGAATTATTAACCATTCAGTTGGTCATCAACTTCCCTAGATAAGACAACAACCTGAGTAATAAGCAGGAGTCTCATTTTAAAGTAATTAATGCGAGTCTAAAAATTAGTTAGCCACAGGAATGCCATCTGTACTGTTGGTAGGACGCCCTTAATATTTGAGCTAGTTGTGGTGGTGGAGAAAACCACAGCACACCATAAAATTGAGACTAATTATTCCAACATTTCCTGCCAACCTTCCATTCTAAGCTGTACTTTGTTATTTCTGATATCATATTAAAATTTTTCACACTGCAAATTCACAAAGTCAACTAGAGTTGACCACTTTATTAATTAATGGATTGATTTATTGAGATTTAAGATGATCTTTTCATATCTGATTATTAGAAACTTCCACATCAGCCAGTGTAAATGTAGCATAGTAATAATCCACATACTTGAAGCACCTTCCATAAGTCACTACATTCTTATCAATTTACATTTGTACACCATTTAATGGGCCTCAGTGAGAGTTAATTTAATGAAGACATTAATTGAATTCAGGGATGAACATGATTCTGAATTGCAATTCTAAAAGGCACTTATTACACCATTTCAGATTATTTTTCCAAATATTCAGTGTTATATATTTTTAAAAGTTACCCTTCCTTATTGTTGTTTTCTGCTTGTATAATTAACTGGTGCAATTGATAGGTGAACAGATGTCCTGTTCAAATATTTACCAAGTTGCTGTTTTTGCTTGATAAGAAGTAAATGAAATCTTCCTTAACTTTCGTAAATTTGATTCCGGTGAATATGCTGTTGATGACAAGAGAAGACGAAGACAATAATCAACTTCCGTTTCTAGATGTCAGGGTAGAACAAATGACCAACAGGAAATTCCAAATCACTGTATATAGGAAGGCAACCCACACTGACCAAATCCTCAATTTCCACAGCAATCACCCCAACGTCCCCAAACAAAGTTGTGTAAGGATGCTATTCAAACCGGCTACAACTCACTGCAACATGCCAGAACTACGCAGGAAGAAGGAAGAGCACATGTACAAGGACTTTGCTAACAACGGATATCCCAGCAACTTCATCCGCAGGTGCCTACTCGATAGACAATGTCTGTATGATAACCAGCCAGCTCGGCGAGGAAGCCAACAACCTCAAATACCCGAAATGGCTATCAGCAGTAGCCATACAAATTGGTGGAATTTGGTGATTTTATCATTGAGTTCAGATATTGTGATATTTTTATTTCTCGATGAAATGACTGGATGGGTTAATGAGTTCATCCCTGTTCATGTATTTTGTATTTCACCTTACTCTGAATTCTGGAGTGCAATTTTTCTTCATTTCTCTGAAGGCTCTAGAAGCTTAAAAATGGTAATCAGAATAAACACATTAAGAGAAATTAATTTGAAGTTTCAAGTGGATAGTGTCAAACTGAAACAAGTAGATAAATTTGAACATGGTAGATACAATGCCAAAGTTGGAAGAAGACTAGAATAGAATCACTTTTGCGAAGGTGAAGGATGTGTTAACGACAGGAAAACTCAACCCTGCAACAAGGAAAATAAATCATGAATTTGAACATGGTAGATACAATGCCAAAGTTAGAAGAAGACTAAAATAGAACCATTTTTGCGAAGATGAAGGATGTGTTAACAACAGGAAAACTCAACCCTGCAACAAGTAAAATAAATCATAAATTGAATCATTCTATTCACTTTCGTGTATGCCTCAGAAACCTGAACAATAAGTAAAGATCTGTGGAAAAAATACTGTAGGAGCCTATATATACTTAGATATATGTTTAATATTTCATAGAAAATCTGTAAGGCAAATTCATAAGGTGTTTGAAATTGCAAGAAGAATTCCATAAAGTGAAAACCAGAATAAAAATATTAATATTTCAACTATCGATCAGGGCTGAAAAGTTACAGAGATCTCTTCAGAGGGAGAATTGTATACTGCCCCATTCTGTGCCATCATATGCTGTGTTTAACTCTGTAAGAGTCACACAAAGGGCTAATAAACACTATTTCTCATAACTTTGCAATGTTGTACCATATTGAGATTCCAAATAATGGTGTTTTGTTGATTAGGATAGTCTCCAGGATTTAAAGGTGTTGCTTCGATATACAACCATTTTAAATGTATGCCCATGAGGTACATTGATAAACATGATGGAGCAATTTTTATTAGCAATAAGCACAAGTCAACTGGACAAATGTACCTCCAATCACTTGTCAAGATCAGAGATGGTAGGGATGGCAACCTCCAGCAATTGCTTTAAAGACTGTTGAATTGGTTGCTAAGTATCTAAAGAAACTGATTTCAGCATACAAGGAGCATGGTACAGCTATTTGCTCTGCAATTTCACAAAAGAGCTTGAAACTGACATTAGGTCCTCCATTTGCTTACATATAGGACCTATAAGCAGTTTGAGGTGAAAATCTTCCTGAGGTCTCCCCAACCAAAACAGTGGATGCTGCGCATTGTGTGTGATGAGCACATGCACCATGTCTACTTTCTTGGACCTTCAGATCCCTGTTTTACCCCTATTAAAATGATCCAATTTTAAACGTCTATATTAGATTTTACAACAATAGGTTTCAGAATTTTTTGCATTGAAATGAGACCTCTCCTAGTATGCAAATCCCAATTGTTTCATTATTATTTTGTGTGCTGCAGTGGTGTTTTATTAAATTAATATTAACATAATGCTCAGCCATTAGCTTTCAATCTGAAGGCTGTAAAGGTTAACATTATGGCTCCTGATTAAATTAGTAATCATTGAAAAGGTACATTTTGGTTAATTGTCAGTGGCATTGACTAGCAGTGAGAGTTAGAAAGAGGAAATTCAGCTGGAATTTGATCATTTGATCTCCAACTGATAGGTTTAAAGATATAATCTTCTTGGCATCAATTCTCGGCCTATTTACCATCTCACAGGAATTTGGAATATATATGGTAACCTGACTTTTCACTGAAATGCTGCTTGTTTGAATTCTCCACCTCAAATTGGGTGGGAGTATTTTCTACACAATGATGGAGGCTGTGCAATTTAGCACATTTCCATCTTCTAGTAAAGGCGGACTGACTCAACAGTTGATTTGACCCACCTTCCATGAGCAAAGTAATTTAAATCTATGGATGGTTCAGAGAAAGTGCATAGATCATGCAACTTTTTCCAAAGATATAGTCTCACATTCAAAATTATGCATTGTTCTTCCGTTGTTGATATAATTTTTCATAAGCGAATACCAATAAGGGAAATCTAGAATGGGATGTGGGTATTACTGGCTTGGTCAGTATTTATTGGCCGTCCTAATTAGGTGAACCACCTTCCCGAATGTGGAAATATAGAAATTGGACAGCAGTATGCTATCCAGCCTATCAGCCCATCCAGCCTGCTCCAAAATTCAACATTAGCACAACTCGATCTCAATGCCACACTCTATACTCCATAATTGCCAAACTGGCCAAAATACAAAATGTCATTTTCAATACACTACAACGACCCATGTGAGGCAATGGAACTTTCTGCCACACTAACGTCAGGTCCTCATGGCAAGACTTCAGAAATTGACCTCTTAGCACCTTGCTGCCATTGTCTTCTCAGGTTATTCTTTGTGGGTCTGTTAGGCCTCCAACCACTGAAACCCCACAAGCCTGGTGTTTCCTCTTGCTCCATTTAAGGTACATCTCTTCACAACTAATTCCGTGGAGACAGCACATCCTTACAACCATTCTTTTTTTAAAATATGCAAGCAAACTGAAATAAGCGCTAGCCACACATGGTGCTGGACTCCTTTTGGAAATTCAGTCAGAAAGCAATTGCAGGTTGTGCTCGATGGAACACTAACAGTCATTCAAATGCAGAAGCTGCATGGCATGTGCTTGCTGCCTGTCTCCATGGGACCAAGGGTGGGATAATAACAAGGTGTGACCATGGGAATGATTGAATATTTAGCTCACTATTTTAGAGGTACAGATAACAGCTGAGTCAATTCTTTCCAACTTACTAGAACATGGGTTTACTACAATAATGTGACTCATAGGAAATATCAGATCCATGTTCCATAACATAGACACTTTTTATTCTGCTATGTTAAGATTGGTGTGTTATAGGCCCTTCCCTGTTAAAAGATAAGTTTTATCTTGTGATGCATTTCAAGTCACTAATACACTTAACAATCAGTAAAGGGGCAAGGTGACAGATGGGGAGTTAGTGTGGTAGAGATGAATAAAGGGGTATGGTGTCAGGTGGGTAATGAAATGGTGTGGCAAGTGGGTGAGGGAGCAGTTTGGCAGTTTGGTAAGGGGATAGGATTGCAGTTGAGGGGTTAGGTTGGCAATTATGTAAGGATTGGTGTATGAAGTGGGTGAGGTGATAGAGCAGCTGGTAAGGAAGGGGATGTTAGGTGAGTAGGAGGGTGATGCCATCACTAGAGAATTAGTATTAGACAAACTAGTGAGAGTGAAGGCAGAAAATCCACTGGCCTTGATGGCTTACATCCTAGGATTCTAAAAACAGTAGTTACAGACATACTGGATGTATTGATTGAAATTTTCCAAAAATCCCTGGACTCTGTAGAAGTACCAGAGGATTGAAAAACTGCCAATGGCACACTTCAAAAAGAGAGGGAGGCAAAAAGCAGATAACTACGTGTCAAGTACCCTAAAATCTATTGTTGGAAAAATGTTGGAGTCAATTATTAAGGAATTAATAACAAAACATTTAGAAAATCATAATCTAATCAGAGTCAGCATGGCTTTATGATAGGGAAATTATGTTGGACTAATTTATTAGAGCCTTTTCAAGTAAGCCAGAGTAGATAGAGAGGACCCTGTAGATGTGTTGCATTTGGACTTCCAAAAGACATTCAACAAGGTGCCTCACAAAAGGTTAGTTCATAAAATAAAAGTCCCATGGTGCTGGAGGAAGTATATTGGCATAGATAGAGAACTGGCTAATAGACAGGAAACAGTGAGAGAGGATTCTCACTGTGGGTTCCAAAGGGATCAGTGCTGGGACTGCAACTGTTTACAATATATATTAATGACTTAGAGGAAGGAAGCAAATGTACTGTACTAAAATTTGCAGATGACACAAACATAGATGGAAAGGCAAGTTGTGAAAGAGATACAACAATCTACAGTTTAAATACACAAAAACAGAAACTGCTGGAGAAATGCGGCAAGAGGACAACTACAACATTTAAAAGACATTTGGACAGGTATGTGGATAGGAAAGGTTTAGAGGGATACGGGGCAAATGCTGACAAATGGGACTAGAACAACTTATGAAACTGCCTGGCATGGATGAGTTGGGCTGAAGGGTCTGTCTCCGTGCTGTGTGACTGTATGATTCTATGATTTCTATAAGTCTAGTAGCATCTGTGGAGAGAAAACAGAATGAAGAAGGGCCACTGGACTTGTTAACTCCAAATGTAATGTCGTTCATTTTGGAAGGGGGAACAAAAGATTATTTGAATGGAGAAGAACTGCAGAAAGCTGCAACACAAAAGCACTTGGGGGTACTTGTAAACAAAACACCAGAAAGCTATCACACAGATGCCGCAGGTAATAAGAAGGCTAATGGAATGTTTGCCCCTATTTCAAGGGAGTTGGAGTGTAAGAATAAGGAGGTCTTGTACAAGGTGCTGGTGAGACTAAATCTAGAGTGCTGTGAGCAGTTTTGGTTCCCTTATTTAAGGAATGATATTAATTGATGGGAGGCAATTCATTGAAGTTTTAACAGGATGATCCCCGATTTGGAGGGATTATTTGTTGAGCAAAGATCAAAATGTTTGGGACTCTATTCATTGAAAATTTGAAGAATGAGAGCTGATCTCATTGAAAACATATCACATAGTTAAGGATTCTGAAGAGTAAATGCTGAGATGATATTTCCCCTTATGGGAGAGTTTAGGACCAGAGGGCATAGTTTTAGGATAAAGGGGTGTCAATTTAACACTGTGATCAGGAGGAATTTCTTCTCTCAAAGCTTTGACAGTCTTTGGAAATTCTTTCCACAGAGAACTGTGGGGACAGAGTCCTTGTGTATATTTAAGGCTGAGATAGATAGGTCCTTGATCAGTCGGGAAATAAATAATTATAGGGAAAGGGCAGGAAAGTGAATGTGAGGGATTTTGAATCAGCCCTAATCTTATTGAATTGTGGAGTAGGCTTGAGAGGCTGAATGGCCT